TCTTCTTCTTCTTCTTCTTCTTCTTCTTCTTCTTCTTCTTCTTCTTCCTCTTCTTCTTCTTCTCCTTCTTCTCCTTCTCCTTCTCCCTCTCCCTCTCCCTCTCCCTCTCCTTCTCCTTCTCCTTCTCCTTCTTCTTCCATATCCGTCATCAGATGTTCGCGATCATATTGGAGATCCTATTTTTATCAACAGCCGCATGAAAAAGTGCTGCTGAGTTTTGTCCAAAGCAGTCCCTTATATTTTGAAACCATGATGTTCTTCTTCTGCCTGGAGCTCATTTGCCTTCAATCTTTCCCTAGAAGTGAAGTATGGCGTATTTTTCCAAGTGTCACATCACATGTCCGAAATATTCTAACTTTCATTTTTTAACAGTTTTGATGATTCCCCTTGGCTTTCCCAGGCAGCTTATCAATTCCTCATTTCTGATTGTGTCAACCCAGCTCATAAGTAACAGCCATCTGTAAATCCACATTTCTAATGCTTCTAGTCTCTTCGAGTGGCTTTCTGTCAGAGACCAATTTGGGTCAAATGCACAGGGTTTGCAATCCCACATCGCTCACCCAGTCTGTCCTTTGGAATTCTCCAATATTGTTAAAAAAATCAACACCATCTTCCACTGATAAAGAATGGCTTTTGAAATATTGCAAGCACTATATTTCAGCAATTCTGAGAACAATTTGAAAAGGCATGCTGTAATTTTTACAGCCAAATTGTAAATGGAAAGGTGGAAGATGAAAGATTATATTTTATCTATAGCCTCTGGGCAATGATGCAGCTGGAATAAGATCTGATTTGATATCCCCAATAAATGAAACTACCTTTAAAAAAGTAGAATTTCCTGTCTTTCTCGGAGAAAGCTGAAGCATCAATGGCAGAAGGAAGACCTGGCCATTTGGCTTGGAGAAGGTATGGACCAGCAGCAGACTCTCCTTTGGATACAATCCAATAATATTTTCCTTTAAAGATGTACATATTATCTTCCATATCTATATAAAATAAAATGTAAAGGCCTTGAATATTTCAATCAAAGACATAATAATTACTGATGTGCTTAATGTGCATTGATCGGAATTCTGGTATATTTTATTTACTATTTTTTATTTAAATGTACAACTTGCCACACCTCCCCACAATAGCATTCAAGGTAAGTAACAATAATATAATAATAATGACACAACAAAATTATAATGAAATCAAGATTATAGCAAAACTTAATCGACACTGAACCATAACTGAAGAAATTCAGGTTCACATTTCCCCACTTCCCAGGTGACTAGATAATAGGAAGTTTTCAATTTAATCTCCTCTACCCTACCCAGTGTTGTGAAGATTAAAAAAACGAAAGGTAAGGACAACTGTGAGTTTCTGAGAGAGAAAAGATTAAAAACAAATGTTTGAATAAATAAAATTCATTAAAACTTCATTAAACAGCCATTGTTCTATAACAGGGGTCTCCAACCTTGGCAACTTTTAAGATTTGTAGAGTTCAATTCCCAGAATTCCTCAGCCAGCTTTGCTTTGCTGGCTGAGGAATTTTAGGAGTTGAAGTCCACACCACAAGTCTTAAAGTTGCCAAGGTTGGAGACCCTTGTTCTATAATAACCACGTTAGTATTCAATAGCATTGAGGGTATTATAGCCTTTTCACCTGGAAAAACTATAAAACAGTTCAGGAGAAGTGTAAAAATTACTTTTTTAAAAAAAAACTGTGCTTCTATGTTACTCGATTCCTGTGGATTCTGAGAGGCTTATAACCAAAATGCTAACTGCATCTAATCATGTAGAATGCTTCTAGCAACTCACTGTGAAGAATCGCTCACAGGGGCTGGCTAAGCCTCCACATCTCCAAAATTTTCCTAAGGGCTCAAATCTTGATAAAGTCCTTTAGAAAACCAGAAAGCTGGAAGAGGAGGTCAGATAACTAGGGATAAGCAGTCACATACCCAGGGGATTATCACTGAAAAGTCCCTACCTCTCAGATTCCCTATAAGTGGCTCGAAGAAGGAAGCTTTTGTAAGCTCTCTGTCTGGATCTCATTATCAGATTCAATCTGGAAAAGGCAAGAGCCATAAGTCCCAGACTCTGGCTTTAGATAACTTATAATTTGAATTGCACCTGGAAGCTGACTGGTAACTAACACAGCTCCTGAAACAGTGAAGATACATGGACAAATTTCGACATCCTCATACTTGGGCAATTGCATTCTGTACCGGTTAAAACATCAACATAGCCTTCAAGGACAGGCCTTTCTAGAGCTAATTACAGTAGTCCAACTGCAAGATGAATAGAGCATATGTGACTGTGCACAAGTAGCCTTTGACTTATGACTGGTCACTTAGTGATTAATTGATGTTATAATTCCCCCCAAAAAGATATTTGCAAGCAGGTTCCAAAGTTCCAACTGCTGAGTCTCCCCTAGTGGTCACATGACTGTATTTTGGGCACTTGGCATCCAACCTGCATTTATAGCCATGTGCAGTGTCCCATAGTCATATAATTGCAATTGATGGAGTTTTAGCCAAAAACTGGCCTATACGTCTGCTTTCTGCAAAAACTGCCTACCTATAGCAAACCATGACTGACATTTGCTATAATTTTTTTTTCTTTTAATGTAATGACCCTATAATCCTTTGCATCAGGGTGGAGTCAGGGCGACTGAATGTAACTGAGCGTTTACTGGCCGGATGCCCTTCCTGACACCTATGCAGAGTTCGCAGCAGATCTCTCTAGAGAAAGTGTGCTACAATACCCAAGTCCCTTTATTCTTACCTACAGTTAAGGCATCAAAAAATGACATGCAGTAATGGAACCTGAAACTTGTCTCTTGATTCTGCTCCCTGTTTTCAAGGTACTGCTTCCCATCCTGGAAACGAGCAAATGATTTTCCTGGAAGCTGGACTATTGGTCCTCGGGACGGTTTTCCTGTTCAAAAGAAAAGGCAACATTCAGAAGCAAACTACGATCTGTATGTATTGTTGGTGTTAATTGAGCAGGAGAGTTCAATCGGTATCTTTATATAGTTACACAGACTATATATACTGAAGAATTAGCTATTTGTGTCACCCCGAAAATAAGACCAGGTCCAAAAGATGCATTATTTGGGGGAAAATATGGTACTAAATGTATCTGGTTGACAATCTTAACTGGGGCTTATTTTGGAGGTAGGGCTTAAATTACAAGCATCCTGAAAAATCATGCTAGGGCTTATTTTCTGGTTGGATCTTATTTTCGGGGAAACGGGATATGTGTTTGAAATCTTGTCTCTCATAAAAAGCAATACCTAATTCAGCAGTTTGGCAATAGCAATAACGCTTAGACTTATATACTTCTTCATACTGCTTTACAGTTCTTTCTAAGTGGTTTACAGAGTCAGCATATTGCCGCCAACAATCTGAGTCCACATTTTACTGACCTCAGAAGGATGGAAGGCTGCGTCAACCTTGAGCCAGTCCGAATCAAATTCCTAGCAGTGAGTTAGGCTGCAATACTGCATTATAACCACAGTGCCACCACAGCTCTTTGAACACATTGTGAACATATTGAACATATTATGGAAGCAGGCTTATTTGGATGCCTTAAATAAAATATATTGACATTTGTTTTCTTTTTCTGATTTAGGTTTGTTCTCTAGCTTAAAGGTAAATGTTGCAAAATAAATTTAAACTTTGAAAAAAAATCCCTAGTAGCTGTTTTCCCATCCAAGCAGCTCTTGTCATTACCATTCCACTTAGTGGGATAAACAACCAGATCTTTCAGTGTGAAACTCCCAAACTGGGAAGTAAGAGAAAGGCTCTCTTTTTGCTGCCATGTGGTGGTTATTAGAATTTCTGCAAGACAAAAGTTCTACTGTAAGGTCAGTCAATGGCTGTAATTTGGTAGTGTGTGAGAATGATCTAGGGAGAATAAGCAAGAGCTGCAGACAGAGTAATAGAGTAATTTTGGGCCAGTCATCTTCTCACTGCATAAATAAAAGGAGGCACAGGTGGAAAAGGAAAAACCACAAGCCCTTTGTGGTTCTCTGAAGAATGGCATGGTGCAATTAAAAAAGTTGATTCCTAAAATTTCCTAATTTCCTAGTGTCATAAACATAGTGACCCAGGTAGCACAGCCTTATATAAGAGTCACACCTCTCTGAATATTGGGTAGTTGGGTGGAAAGAACATTTGTAAAGGAGAAAGCGAAGTTGCAACAGCTATTTCAACTGGAACAGCAGCTATTCTGAAAGAGCTAAGCAATTCTTCAACTCCAAAATTAGAGAATAACAGAGTTAGAAGGGACCTTGGGGGTCTTCTTGTCCAACCCCGTTTGAGCAGAAGACCCTGTGCCATTCTAGACAAAGGGCTGTCCAATCTCTTCTTAAAAATCTCCAGGGATGAAGCATCCACATCTTCTGCAGGCAAACCATTCCACCGATTAATTGTTTCACTGCAAGGAAATTTCTCCTTTATTTTAGGTTGGATCTGCCTTTGATAAACTTCCATCTGTAACTTCTAGTCCTGCCCACAGGTTCTTTGGAGAATAGGTTGACCCCCCATCTTCACTATGACAGCCCCTCAAATGCAGGAAATGTCCTATCGTTTCACCCCCTAGTCCTTCTCTTCGTTTACATACCCAATTCCTGCAACCATTCATCATTGTTTTAGCTTTCAGTCCCTTCATTAACTTTGCTGCTCTTCTTTGCACTCTTCCTAGAGTCTCATTCACTCCAACTGGTTCCAAGGCTGTAGTCTATATTTGAAGATGTGGTCATGCAGTCTTTACCTTTGAAAAAGTTTTACTCTTGAGAAAATAAATTATATTTACCATATAAATTCTGAATGGCAAGAACATCATCCCAGCTCAAGACAAAACCCTTGCCCAGCTTCTTGTAGTAGGGGGACATAAGAGCATTGGACACAGGGGAGTGTTCCAGGCCCAGCGTATGACCAATTTCATGTGCCATCACCACAAAGAGGTTACGGCCTTTCCCACTGTCCAGGGACCATCTCTCGTCATTGTCAAAATGGGCCTCACCACGGCGTGGGAAGAAGGCGTGTGCCAAAGCACCCCCTAAGGAAAAAGAAAGAGAAATCAGATCGCAGATCAACTTGAACACTATTTATATTTAGCGATGAAAGTCAATCAACTCCCTCCATCAGAGAATTACATACTGCTGATGCTTCTTCTACGATCGTCTTTATTGCTGCCAACTTCCCAATCCTAGGAGCAGAAGAATAAATGCCTGGCTCTAAGTTGCTGCAGCGGAGAAACGAAAAGCCTCATCCTCATTCCAGGCCAAAGAGTCATCAAATAAATTGCTTTCACCCCTGCTGTCATATTTTTACTTAATACTGTGTGCTTTTTTTGAATTGCATGAGGGAAAATCTAAGTGATTCCTATGGGGAGGAAAGTGAAAAGCCACCAAGTCACCTTTCCCCTTAAAAGACCTACTGAGATGATTGAAGACCCAGAAGAAAGAGAGGTCCTTAAAAAAGGTTGTTCAGGGGAAATACCTGCTGCAAGACTTCAGCACTAAAAAGTTTTTTTTTTAAATTAAGATAATTTCTGAGAAATAAATTGCTTAGTTGCCAAAGGTGGGGAGGAATTCTGCATACAGGTGCAAAACTCATGTTGAAGTTTGCATAGATCCCATGTAGAAGAATCTCATAAGCCATGAGGCTCCTCAAACTTAGGATCAGAATCTCAAGTCTTCAGCCAGGCTGATTACCAATATTCATTTTATTTACAACATGCCTTGATAGTGTAGAGCAAAACCAGATTACAGTATCAAGGAAATTGTGTTTTCTACACATTTGAAAAACACCAGGAATGGGTAAATCTAATTTCTGTCCTACCAGCTTTCTCTCTGCCCCTTTCTAAGCCCAGGGCTCTTGGTCACCTGTTTCTTTTGAAGTCCTGACAATAGGAACCCCATGACAGAAGATGCATGAAATCGGAACTCTGGACCAATATGGTCTTATAACCAAAGGATGTTTAAGAGGTAAGACATAACAAATCAGCACCTGGACCATCAAAGGCATTCTCAACTCCATCATTGTGATCCCCATAGAAGAACGTCAGGCGAATATCTGCAGGCTCTTCTGCTACTTCCCAAAACACCAAGGAAGAGACATTGCTCCATAGCTCAAAAGCTGTTTTCACTGCCAGACGGACCTGATGCTCTGGCAGATACCAAGGCCAGTTGATTAGCCGGTAAGTCAAGTGTCGTTTATACCATTTGCCACCTACAAGGTTGAGATGGAAGGGGGAGAGAAATTAGTGGAGAGAAGATCAGAAAAAACGAATCTGACATAAGGTGATTAATTCCAGCACCCCTGTTAAAGGCACATCAACAATGACAACAAGAACACTTTCTCAGCATCTTCAAAGTGAATCCCAAAGGTGCATTTTCAAGAGGTAACTGGACTTTCTGGTTTTTCTTTGAAGATGTTTTGCTTCTCATCCAAGAAGCTTCTTCAGCTCTGACTGGATGGTCCTTCCATTCCCCACCATGCAATCAGAGCTGAAGACGCTTCTTGGATGAGAAGCTAAATGTTTTCAAAGAAAAACCAGAAAGTCCACTTGCCTCTTGAAAAGGGACCTTTGGGACAACTATGACCTGGATGACTGGAAATCTCCAGAGACCTTCAAAGTGAATGTTTTAAAGAAATGTGCAAACAGTCCCAGAGATAGAGGAGAACAGAAATTTAAGAAATACAACTAAAATTCATTCTCCCACAACAGTAACTTGTATCTGCATGTATCGATTCTGAAATCTTATCATTTTCTGCAGGAAACCACTAAATGAAATTCAAGTGAAAAATGAAAGCGTTATTAATTACAGCCCACATTCATTTACAAAGAAGATGGAGTCACAAGGGATTAAGGGCATAAACTATGCTTAGGGTCTTATTCAAACTAAATGGGATGTTCTTGGGTGCCATTTGAAAGTCATGGACACCAGCATCCAAATTGTGTCTCTCCAATTGTAATTTCCTCATAAAATTCCAACCAATTCCCTACGCTGAAGAAATTTATTCTCTAACATCAATAAGAAAATTTATTCTCTATCATCACCTTCCTTCTCTTTCACAGGACACTCATCATCGTTTTCACCACATGTGACACAATCCTGCACCTCTGTATGGTTTGCCAATTGCACAGTGGCAGATAGGAAAGCACTCCAGAGGGTTAATGTCATTGTCCAGAAGATCATTGGTTGCCCTCTCCCCTCTTTGGAAGAGCTTTATAGCTCCCGCTGCCTTAAGAAAGTTCAAAACATTCTCAAAGATCCATCTCATCCTGGGAACCCTTTGTTTTGAACTATTACCATCTGGCAGATGGTACAGAATAATAAAAACAAGGACAAATAGGCTGAAAAACAGCTTCTATCCCAGGGCAGCAGTTCTTTTGAATTCTGCTGTATAGTGCAATGTTGGTGTGGTGTCGGAGGTTTCAATTCAATGTGTGGAGGGTGAAGGATGTGTATTTGTTTATTTTCATGGTCATGGTCATGATGTGCACTGAAGATGGTGTTTGATTTTGTTGTACAAGGTGCAATGACAATAAACTAAACTAAACTAAATCCAAATGTCAGGCTAATATGGGCTTGTAATTTCCTCCTCTGATCTTGAGTCATGCTAATATAATAGAATAACAGAGTTGGGAGAGACCTTGGAGCTCTTCTAGTCTGACTCCCTGCTGAAGCTGGAGGCCCTATACCATTCTAGACTGATGATTATCCAACCTCTTCTTTAAAGCCTCCAGTGTTGGAGATCCCACAACTTCTGGAGGCAAGACGTTCCATTGACTAATTGTTCTCACATTGAGAAATATTTTAAAAGAAATGACAGAATAACAGAGTTGGAAGGGACCTTGGAGGTCATCTAATCCAACCCCCTACTTGAGTAGGAGAGCCCATATCATTCCAGACAAATGGCTGCCCAGTCTCTTCTTGAAAGCCTCCAGTGATGGAGCACTCACAGCATCTGAAGGCAAGCCGTTCCACTGGTCGACTGTTCTCACTATTAGGAAATGTCTCCTTCGTTCTAGGTTGCTTCTCTCCTTGATTAGTTTCCATCCATTGTTTTGTTGTCTTGCCTTCAGGTGCTTTATGGCCAGAGGGCCATAAAGGGTCTATTCTTTCTTTTCTATAACTGTGGGCTTTTTTCTTTGTCCTGTATATGATGTCTAGTTATCCCTTTTTGTGAATGAAGGGAAATATGGGCACGGTGTTTCTGTCTTAATTTTCTTCGCCAGTTTCACTTCTTTCGTTTTGGATGAGTGCACTTTTAGCAATCTTTAGCCACTCTTCTTCCTTGCCCTTTTGGCTATTGGGTGGCTTTGGGGCAGTGGAAATAAGTTTTATTCTCTTACAAAATAAGGTGTGATTATTCCCACCATGGGCTGCACAGGAATGTGGGCATACCTCCCTTCAAGAAGCGCCAGTGTATCTAGCCCTTAAAAAAAAAAAAAGAATTCTTCAGTTTAGAGCAAGTAAGAATATAGAAATAGCTTGCTTGTTCACCAGGGATTTGGATCTAGTGGTATTCTAGAGCTGTGAGAGAGTGAGTCGACATCAGACTGACAGTCTGTATCGGTCAGAAAGTGCTCCACATTCGGCAGCCTGCTGTGATTCTCACGGTAAACGAAGGACACGGACCGTTTCCTTCAACCATTGGATTCTTGAAAGCATTTCCTTTCTAAGAGAAAAGACAGCTCTATTCGCCCAAAGAGCTGCTTCCTGCTTGGGGCACAGGAAAAAGAGTGAGCTCATCCTAGGGATCAAGGGAGCCTCACAGACCATCATTTAGGGGCCAAGATGTCAATCTTCCTCCCTCCAATTACTCTAATAGGCCATCCAGCCCTGTATCTGCAAAACACAACAAGCCCTGAGAGAAGATTAAAGACTTTATGAACTGCAAAATGGCTTGGAGCATAAATTTTGATTGGGGTAAAAAAAAACAAAAAACCACACAGCTTGGTTGTAAGAAATCGTTAACAAATACTATGTTTTAGAGTCTGCCTGTAGGCCTATTAAAACACCCTTCCAAAATTTCACACTGATTAAAGGTTTGGGTAACGGGGGCTTATAGACCAAGCTTCAACCATTCTTGCTCAACTAACCATATGCTCCCACCCAATTAAATTGAGAATGGCAGACCTCTTGTGGGTGCCCTCTCTTGATGAATGTCATTTACACCGGGTTCTCAGAGGTGGCTTTTTATCCATTGTGTACACACACATCAGAATGGCATCCCTCCCCTGAGAGATTCCTTTTGACCCAACTAGTTGAGGAAAGCAA